CCGCCCGACGCCCTCCTGTTAACTTCGTCGGCGGCTACCCCTGTCGCTGCCTTCATGTGTGCTTTCATCTCCTTCTCGATCTCTTGCGTCTACTGCCAGTCTGCCGCGCAGCCATGTATTTCTCTGCCATCCTTGCCATCCTCACCTGCTGCCGTGCCAGACCGGCATGTACCCGTTCGCTATGGTTGGCGACGGTCTCCGGCCACCGGCCATATCTGTCCACCGTATACGGCCTCCATTTAAGCTGAATCGGAGTCGTATCGCGCGCAATTGCTATCCTCCTCCGTCACCTTGCCTGTTTCCTCCCAAAGACCCAAACCCCGTCGATTCGTGCCTTGCTACTGTTTCTAAGTCCTGTGTTGTTCTTGCTGTTCCACTGTCCCTGAAGGTACTCCCTCCTTATTTATGACGCCGTTGACTTTTCGATCAATGTTTGACCATTCGTTTTATTTAAAAATTTTATGTAAATATGAAAATATTTATGTCATGTTTAAAAAACATTTGATGACGAATCAAGTTATAATAAAATAAATGATAATTACATAAATTTTTTGAATAAATTTTTTGAATAAGATGAATGGTCAAACGTTGGATAAAAAGTCAACGGCGTCATGCATTAAAATATGGAGGTAGTATTTGTTTGCTGTCTTAATTAAAATACTTGATATGAGTGAACATAAATGTGTTGTATATATAGGCTAAGCGCATTGCCATTGCAATGATGGTATTCCGTAAATATTTGAGGAGGTAGCAGCTACTTCGCCCGGCGAAAAAAAATAGCAGCAGCTTTTTTTGGAGGGCCGCCTTGATTAGCCTTATGTACCTAATTTCTGAATTTAGGGGTGCTTTTATAGTTATTGATATGAGATCTGTGAACATAGAGGTTGTTCATTTTGATGTTAGTTTCAACCATACCATTTTTTTTCAAAGTTACCTAAAAATGGCTATGTTTAGTTTGTTGCCAAATTTGATCAATACATAAGAAATAATACCAAAATTTTGGCAATATTGCCATCTTGCCAAAATTTTGACATTGCCAAAACTTGGTAATGTTTATTTTGGCTACAATTTGAACAAGCCCATAATTATAAATGTGGTGGACTTGGGTTAAAAAAAGCTTTTATACTAACTTAAGGTATTAATCCAAAAATCGCCACTCAAAGCTAACAGTTAGAGGCACTGAACTGACTCTGTATCAACATTTTGCTTTCCAGTTTAATCTAACGTTTGCATCTTTCCTTTTGTTTTCCTTCAAAATTTTTGGCTTTCATTGATCATAATTTTCACTCATGGAAAAAGAACAAAAAAAAATTGTGATGTGCTGGTATCAGTGGCATTTGATAGCCGTTTATTTTGGATAAAAGGAAAGATCATGCATCCTTCTCTATTATCATGTACTTCCTTTTGTTTCACAATATAGGTCATTCTAACATTTTCTATATTCATGTTAATATTAAATGTAACATCAATATAAATATGGAAAATGCTAGAATGACCTGCATTGTGAAACGCTGTTTTTCACCGTGATTGAGAAGTCCTATATTCATTTTGGATATTCACGGGATGGTATCAAATCATGTTTCCCACATATGCATTGTAATTTTTCTTAATGCAGTACCCGTTAGACATGTACAGTGATCTTCTGTTGTTATTCTTTAGTAGATTTTATCGAAAGCAGGGAACTTTCTCTAGGAAAATCCATTACCCACTCCCCAGTGGAGAGAGATTTGATGCCCTGATGTATGCTGCACTCTTTCTCCAATGGGTTTTTTAATTTTCATGGTTGGTTCTGATTTACTGCTTGCTATGCTCATCGTCCCTTTTCTCCTTTGTTTCACAGCTTTACGCAATATATATTTTTAGGTTCTTTTATGTTTATTTTGCCTAAACTTATGCCTTTTGGGTACCTTTTCTCTAAATAGCATCGAATTCAACCAAATGTTCGATGCTATTTACGCCAAGTTTAGTTCCAAAATTTTTCTTCAAACTTTTAAACTTTGCTATCACATCAAAACTTTTCTGCACACATAAACTTCCAACTTTTCCGTCATATCATTCCAATTTCAACCAAACTACCAATTTTGGTGTGAAAAACACACCCTTAGTATATACTACACTACATGGACAGTTGTCCTACATTCGATCACCGGTACGGTGTTGTTTTTTCTTTTTGGTTATATATGCATCAGGGAACTAATTAGCCATTTTGTCCAGATCAATCTTCATTTCCACATTTTATAAATATTGCGTGCATGCTTACCATTATAGTACTCTTCACGATGTTCCCGCGGGGTACAGCCTAGTAAATAGGATGACTGAAATAAGGTTCGAGTAAATGAGACATGTTAGGTTAGCTATACGTATAGATTTGGAAAGAGGTAACCAAAACCAAATTCAAAATTTTCAAATCCCTCAAATTTGTAGGCCCCCAAACCTGCTGCCTACTGCCTAGGTTTCCAATTTGAAAGGAAAAAGTACACGAAAGGTCCCTTAACTTATCATCGAGTTACAAAATCGTCCCCCAACCACAAAACCAGATATATAAAATCCCTCAACTTACAAAAACCGTTCACTTTAGGTTCTCCGGTGGTTTTGACCCTGGTTTAGTCCGACGTAGCGGCTGAGTCAACGTGATACCCACGTGAGCCCTACATGTCAGGATGCCACTTTCCCCTCCTTTCCCTTCCTCCTCCTCTCCCCCTCTCACTTTTCTCCTCTGGGCAGGGCGGCCGGCAGGTGAGGAGGAGGTCACCGGGACGAGGCGAGAGAGGAGGTCCGACTGCCGGCGATGCGGTGATGGCGCCCGCCGGTACAAATCCCACCTCTGCGGCGCCATGTCCTCCTCCCGCGGGCCGTCGTCTCCTCTGTCCCACCCGAACCCTATCGATCCCTTCGCCGCGGTAGCGGCGGCGACAGCGGAGGCGCCACCGCTCCGAAACCCTATCATCCCCCATGACCCTCCCTCGCCGGAGATGGAGGCCACCGCGGAGGCGCTCACCTGGGAGGGGTGCTGTGTTGGCGGAGGTGCCGCGCCAAGCATCTCGTTGATGTGTACTGGCGGTTCTATTGGACGCTCGGGTGGAGCTGCGGGCGTGGCATGGGCGAAGCCTGCTCGAGGCAGAGCAGCTGCCGCTGCTGCCCTCCGCGTCCAAGGTGGTCAGGCCGGTGTCCGCGATGGTGCCGAGGCGGAAGAAATGCAGCTTCGGCGGGTGCAAGGTGCGGACCATGGCTATGGCCAGGTTCTGCCACTCCCACATCCTCTCCGATGACCATGGTGATGGCATGTCCCTTCCGCCGCGCTCTTGACAGACGGTGTGGGTGATGATGTGGCATCCTGACATGTGGGTCCCACGCTGACTTAGCCGCCACATCGGATAAAACCGGGGTCAAAACAACCGAAAGACCTAAAGTTAACGATATTATAAGTTGAAGGATGTCATGTATCAGGTTTTGCGGTTGGGGGACGATTTTGTAACTCGATGAAAAGTTGAGGGACATTCGGTATACTTTTTCCAATTTGAAATTGCTTTCTTCCAAGGCCACAAAAAACAAGTAATAAGTTCACCGGAGGTCCCTCAACTTAACAGCGAGATTTTTTGAGGTCCCTCAACCACAAAACCAGAAATTTTCGCCCCTAAACTCATTCAAACCGTTCACAGGAGGTCCCTTGGCAGTATAGGTGGGTGGTTTCGCTTACGTGGCATCCTAGTCAGAAAAAAAAAATTAAAAAATTTCGTGGGGCCCACATGTCAGCTGCACTTTATTTTTTCTTCTCTTTTCTCTCCTCTTCTCTTTCCTCTCCTCTCTCTTTGCCGGCGGCGGGCGGCGATGGGCGAGCGCGCGACTGGAGTAGGTGGAGGGGCGGCGTCAGCGCGCTAGAGCAGGCGGAGCGCGCGGTGTCTCCGGGCGAGCGCGACTACGGCGACGGCAAGCGGTGGGCGAGCGCGACGGCGGGCAAGCGGCGGCTCCGAGGGTGGGCGGTGCGCGGCCGGAGCAGGTGGAGCGGCGGTGTCTCCGAGCGCGGGCGGAGCAGAGGGGCGGGGGCGCGACGGGCGAGCGGCGGCGACGCGTCACCTCTTTCCCCCTCTCCCGCCGGCCTCATCTCCCCCAACTCCGTCCGCTCCCGCCGCTGCGGCGCGCCACCACGTTGGGCTCCTCCGATGAGTGCGACGGCGGCGGCGGGAACCAGCAGCAAGAACGATGTGCTCGTTCGCTCTGTCCGCTTTGCGCGCCGCTCTCGCCGCCGCCACCGACGCGACTGGCGGAGTAGGCCGCCACGCTCCTCCTTTGGCCACCTCCGCCGTTGCGGCCTCCTCATCCGCCTGCAGTGCTCATTCGCTCGCTCGACGCCCGTCGTCCGCTCTGCTCGCAGCCCGCCGCGCTTGCCTTCCGCTCGCCCTCCGCCGTCCAACGCCGCTCCGCGTGCCGCCGCGCCACCCGCCTCCATTCTGCCCACAGGCCGCGCTCGGTGGACTGCGGGCTCAAGGATGACCTCGTGTTCGGGGACCCTAACGCGCCGCGGTTCCGCCGCCACCTCCCGGATCCCGCCCCCACCTCCCGCCGCGGTCGTCCGCAGTCCGCCGCTGCTCTCACCGGCTGTCGCCCCGCTCCTGCATGCTTCACCTGCCGCGGCCGCGCTCGCGCTCCGCCGCCGCCGCCGCTCTCGTCGGCCGTTGCCCCGCTCCTGCCTGCTTCGCTTGCCGCGGCCGCGCTCGCCCTCCGCCGCCGCCGCCGCTCTCGCCGGCCGTCATCCCGCCCATCTCGTCTCGTCGAAGAAAACGAGAGAAGAGAAGAAAGGGGAAAAGGAAGGGATGTGGGGCCCGCACCATTTTCTCTCACTTACATGTGGTCCCCACGTACTTTATTTATTTATTTTTGCTGACTAGAATGCAACGTCAGCGAAACCACCCACCTATACTGCCAAGGGACCTCCTGGGAACGGTTTCAATGAGTTTAGGGGCGAACATCTCTGGTTTTGTAGTTGAGGGACCTTAAAAAAAACTCGCTGTTAAGTTGAGGGACCTCCGGTGAACTTAGTCTCAAAAAACAATCGTAATTAGCAGGCCGCCAGCCCAGCCCACCTACTTCTCCTACACGGCCCAACTGCCACGTCAGCTAACCACCTCATTCAATCCACTCCACTCCACGGAGCCAACCCGAGCTCGCGAGATGGAAGCTCACCTCCGGCCGCTCTCCGCCGCGGCGCTCCTCCTTTCCCCCGCTGCGCCGCTTCCCACCGCCGTTGCTGCTTCTGCGAGGAGAGCATCCCCCGGTGGCAGGAGGTGGAGCAGCGTGAGGGCCAGCGCGGGCGGCGGGGGCTGGCTGTCGGGCCTGCTCGGAGGCAAGGGCGGCGGCGGCGCGCCGACGGCGATGACGGTGACGCCGGGGACCGTGAAGGCGGGGGACCCCGTCCTGCACGAGCCGGCTCAGGACGTTGCCCCCGGGGACATCCCCTCGGAGAAGGTCCAGGGCGTCATCGACCGGATGGTCGCCGTCATGCGCAAGGCCCCCGGCGTCGGCCTCGCCGCCCCGCAGATCGGCGTCCCCTTGAAGGTAACCCGCAACCGAGGACACGATTCGTGCGATCGCTCCTGCATTATTCCATTGCATTAATTGCTCCAAATTACTCCACTAAGTCGTCTACTGTTCAACTGTTTAATTACCTGCTTATGTTTGTTCCTGATTGACACATGGCTGAATTGCTCGACCTGTTAAAATTTCATAGATTATCGTCCTGGAGGATACCCAAGAATACATCAGCTATGCTCCCAAGAAGGACATTGAAGCGCAGGATCGCCGTCCTTTCGATCTTCTTGTGAGTAGTAGTACATTTGTCCTATGTAGTTGCCTTCACCAACAATTATCATTAGGCAATATTGCCGCCTTCTCATGCCGTTTTATTTTCCTTGTGTCCCTTGGATACCAGGTTATCATCAATCCTAAGCTTAAGACGACGAGTAAAAGAACTGCATTGTTCTTCGAGGGGTGTTTGAGGTACTCGCTAGAATGCTTCTTTGTGATGTTATTACTAGTTTCTCATTATGCATTGTACTGGATTACATTGTGCTTGTTCTCATGTGTCTTCTGGGGATGGCAGTGTAGATGGATACAGGGCACTTGTCGAGCGACACCTGGATGTTGAGGTTTCAGGTTTGGACAGGAATGGACGCCCCATCAAGGTAGAAGCTTCAGGATGGCAGGCACGTATCCTGCAGCACGAATGTGATCATCTTGAAGGTACATTGTATGTTGACACGATGGTCCCTAGGACATTCAGAATTGTTGATAACTTGGATCTTCCGCTTCCTGTTGGATGCCCTCCAATAGGTGCACGCTGAGGTGGAGAGCATTCCACATTTTAAAATTTCCAAGTAGAGATAATTGCACTCTATAGTATACATAAAATTTATCCCAAGTATAATATTTGCATTGCTGCTTATTTCTGTGATTGCCAATTTTCCATGAATTGATTTTTCAATGTCTGTTGTGGTCATACACATGCGGAGAATCACTGCCTTGTATGTTGAATTGACATCATGTGGTAACATTCGTTGTTGGTTGTAAGATGTTCGCTCAATGTTTTTTGTATGGTGTCCATGGACTCTGGGAGAACAGGAATTTTACACTTCAATAGAACTGTACCTTTTCCTCCAGTTTTTGTCTCTTCAACATAATTTGCAATACCATACACTTAATAGTGTATACTGATTATTTTTATCATATTTCTGATATTCTTGAACTTCTCTATATTTCGTACAACTTGAATTTTCTTTCATCTGTTTTGAGATTTGAAGCTAGTTGAGATTCTTCCAAGTTTATGTAAACTAATGTGGTTGGTTAAATTATACAAATTGCTTTTGGTGGTATGGTTGTGTCTCTGTCTCTCAAAGCAGCATGTGTTGTTTTCCTAAACTAGAGTAGCAAAAGGAAACATATCCATGATGGGTGTAACATGATTATGTTGTCTGATCATGTCTCAGAACCAGTTTGTTTATGCAGTATATTATGATATAATATTCCTTCTAACATATTAAATTCAATACCTTTCTGTATTAATTTTAGGATAGCTTGATGGGTGGTGGAAGGTAAGCCATATATAATTTAAACCCTTTTGAAAATGCAAGTTCGCAAAGAGCCTTGAACGCAAGGAAGTGAACATTATGTACAAAGATAGAATAAGAAAAATGAGCACTAATAGAAGTTCACAAGAATAAATGAACAGTTTGTCATTATGATGTATCATTTAATATGTAAGTATTTCTCCAAGTGTCTTAAAATAATATTTTAAAACACCCTTACAATCAGTTGTCTGGATAATGGAGTGCATCTGTTACTTCCTACTGTAGGAAGGAATTATGAGACAAAAAGCTAACAAGTATGTACTTATAAGATAAATTGAACCTGAAGGAAACAGAGTTCATCAGTTACGACAGAATAATGAGGAACTTCACACATGGACCTTATAACTTGAGCATCAGCATTTAACAATCATGACAAGTACAAAGTGAGTCATGGTGCAGATGGAGGACATAAATGTTGCAATCAAGTGGCCACACATGACACATTAGAAATCAACTTAATCCTTCGAAACCAAAATGTTACATCTTCGTAGTCCCAAGTATATTGTAGTCTACTTAAAGCCCCAAGCTCTGAAGAATGGAATGCTTGACTTTAAAGGCATGCATACATTTGGAACAGTGTTTTGAAGATACCAATTTTCTGATTCTGGGAGATGAAGGTTCACTTGTTTCAGAGGCACCAAATTGTAGACCACTGTAAAGAAAAATAAAACAGGAGAATTTTCAGATGGTATGACAATCATATACTGTAGGCATAGACATAGCCATGAAATTAACACATAAATCATGTTTGAATCAGTGTTCATGCCCTCAATATTCGTTCAATTTCGAAACAGGCAACTCCCAAAGCATTCACCTACTGCAACTGTGCAAAACCAAAGGATTGAGTTTTATACGAAGTAGCAGTTGAGATTTTCTTTGTTACACATACCTTCAAACAATGAAAACTACAATAATGTGAGAATTAGATATAACTACGAAACTTTTAACATGTTAAATAACTAATCTACAGGAGTGTTATGATTTCAGTCTACCTACCATCACAGCAAGCCACAAGAAAGAGATGCCTTTATTTTTTAATATTTGCCTCTTTTATGTATTTTGTCCTATGATATAGGGGCTACGGGTTCAATAATTTGTTCTCATTGTTCATTGGTCTATATACTACAGTCCTATCATTGAGCTTTGTAAAAGATAGGCTGGACTACATGAAATTGAGTGCTACAGCCTACTGGTATGAAACTGTTGCCAAGTGTCTTAACATTATCTCCAATCCTGTTGATTAAGAGAACTCCTGTGGGTAACAAAAGCAATCATCACATCCAGGCTTGTTACAAACTTAGACAAAGTTTCCAGTCCATTACCTGGGCTGAAGGAGCTTGTCATGGAAAATGGAACATTTGTCAGAACTCTCACATAGGCTGGTCCTACTGACATCCAAAATATAGAACCTGAGCTGCACAGTGAGGTGGTCGAGTACTTGAGAACTTCCTTTTGGTCATAAAGATTGGTCATTGGGATCCTTCAAATCTGGCCTGAATGCACCAACTAGCCTATTGCACTAGCTTTTTTCCATCATACAGGGCACCATGCCGCACAACAAGGCGACCTGCACATGGTCTGCGGTTCTCCATATGTTTATTCTCCCTTTTTAAAGTAGAGGAAATTGTCCTTTGCCTCACCCGCTCATTGCAGAGAATCCAAACTCATAATCCATCAGTTTAGTTAATTGGTGTTGGACTATAGACTATAGAGATTCTGGTTGCTTGTGCCATTCTCCAACTCTGCTATATAGATGGCTTTAGGAAGACCCATACTGATTCAGAACTAATCATCTTTGGGAGAGGAGAGATACTAGCTACACATTCAGATTCAGAGCTAACATCCGCAGTCACCATTGCTTCATTGGAGGAGAGATCATTGGGTAGCAATGGCAGCCCACCATGGTAGCAGCAGGAAGACAAAGGCAGAGCAGTGGCTATTCGGTGGAAGATGGAGGAGAACTGTGAAGGAGACAAAGCATCCTGTTGCCTCTGAAGCCAAGCCTCCAGCTCCAACATTTCCTACAGCCATTCAGAAGGATGGCGACATCTGCCTTGAGAAGTCCAGAGTTCATCTTCCTGGCCTGGGACAGAGGGAGATCATCGATATCGCGCCCGGGAGGAAGTCAATGCCGGAGGTGGAGATCAACATGAAGGAGGTCAGGGAGATCATCGATATCGTGCCCGGGAGGAAGTCGATGCCGGAGGTGGAGATCAACATGAAGGAGGTCGTCTCTGTGCTTGGTGTGAAGGTGATGGCTGCAGACATGTCGCCATTTATGCAGCTGCATGCTTTCCGGTGTGCTAAGCGGTCCCATGATAGCTTGGACAAGTTCAGCTCAAGGCAGCTGGCCCATGATGTGAAGAAGGTGAGCTTATTTTTTTTTCTTTCAATTTGTGATCTTTCGCTTGTTTGTTTACTTTTGTTTTGTATTCTGAAAGGGATTGCACTGATTCCGTTCATTGTATACGCTCCTTCCCTTTGTCTTTTGGACGGGTTCTTTGTGAAATCAAATTTTAGAAACTTATCATTTATGTTGTCAATTATGAGATGCACTTCTAGCATCTTCTGTATCATGCAATGCACATAGCCTTAATGCTGAAACACGTAGTAAAATCATTATCTGATATATTAGAACCTAAATAGTGTTGCTGCTTCACTTTTTAATACTTGTTTTTGAAGGAAAATGTAATCTGGCTTGGCTTCTAACATCTTGTCCTTGATATCCAACAGGAGTTTGATAAAGTTTATGGACCTACATGGCATTGCATCGTCGGCACAAGCTACGGCTCTTTCGTGACGCATGCGAGAGGCTGTTTCCTCTACTTCTCCATGGATAAGATCATCGTGATGCTGTTCAAGACCAAGATCAGGAAAGTGTTAGCATCATCTTGAGCTCCATAGGGACCAACCATGACATATCTCTTGTCTCAATGGTCAATACACTTCCATCATGAGAAAAAAAAAGGGTAATTAATTAGTCTAGCTCTGTGAGAGTGAAGAAACAGGGGAAGAAAACCACCTCAAATAATTGTTTTGTCCGTGAGTTGCAAGTTGCAGCTGAACAAGTACTGTGGTTGGATGGTGCTGATGAATACTAAGCACCAATAGGAAAGCAGGTTGTATATGTAAATTAATTAATTACCACTTGGAAAGTGATGTGATGATGAACTGTTGTTTGGGTGTAGTAGTTGTTGTTCTCCTTGGGGACAGCTCTGACAGAGGCTATACAACAATCGCTGTCAGGATCACGTTGTGAGATTCCTGATTAGTAGAGATAATCACGGGCTAATACGGTTGATCAAATACCACCTCTCGCTGTGATGATGAGGTAGCTGGTTGACAATTGTGTCTAGCTCTTGTAGTAGTGGAGTAAACAATACCTGGATGGATGATGGATCTCGTCATCACCACCGCTCACTGTTTCCAGGTTCTAGTCCAAGCTCCATGGTTAGTCCAAGCTCTGGGTTTACAAGCCAAGAAGACTTGTTCTACCACGTGATGGCCATCAGCTCCTCTGGCTGTGCAACCATGGATGCATATGATGCCCGGATTGGTTGAGTGATAAGCTGTAAAAATATAAAGAAACCAATTAAAAATATTTATAGCTAAAATTCTATTTTACCCACCATTCCAAAATGATCATCAGATTACACAGGTATACCAAGGCCCTATGTAGTTCACACCAAACTTCTCCCCAACTCCTAACTTTCCATCACATCATATCACATCCAAAACTTTCCTACATACATAAACTCCCAACTTTTTTTCCGAGTAAAATGCACCAGCGGTCCTTAAACTTGTCAGGAGGTTTCACCTAGGTCCACGAACTTGCAAAGCGCACATCGAGATCCCTAAACTTGGTTTATTGTATCATCCCGGTCCAAAACCGCGTTTGACCGTGGTCTTACCTACGTGGCATACCACGTGGATGATGACATGGAATTTTTTAATATTTTTTTCTCCCTTCTTCTTTTTCCTCCCTTCCTTTTCTTTCTCTCCTCTCCCGTGCCTCCGCCAGTCGACGCGGGAGCGGGGGCGAAGAGGGGGGCATCGGCGAGCTCGGCGTGAGCGGGGCGGACACGAGCTCGGTGTGAGCGGCAGGGTGGCAGGGCGAGCTCGACTTGAGCAGCGATGACTGGGGGAGGAGGACGACAGCGCTGCGTGCGTGCGGGGGGAGGGGTGTCACCGGCCGCGGCCCGGGGGAGGTGTCGCCGACCGCGGTTGCGCGTGAGGGGGGAGGCGTCGGCGAGCAAGACGCGAGCGGGGCGGGCGCGAGCTCGACGGCGGCAGCGGGGCGGCAGGGCGAGCTCGAGCTCGGCAGCACGAGCTTGATGGCGTCAGCGGCCATATCGAGCTCCGTGTGGCGGAGGACGACGAGCTCGAGCTCTCTCCCCCCTCCATCGGCGAGCTCACCCCCAACTATCCCAAACTTCCAACTTTCTATCACATCATATCACATCCAAAATTTTCCTATATACATAAACTTTCAACTTTTTTTCCAAACCTCCAACTTTCCCCAAACTTCCAACTTTTTTTTAAGAAATAAACACACAGCCCTACTCTTTGGCCGGCCCGGCAAAAAACTGAGCAGCAGCCGCCATGAACTCCCCACCCTCATTTCTCATTACTGCAAGAGAAATTATTTATTTTTTAGACCTTTTAATTTTTAGATTTTAAAAATAGTCCTTTTCAAAAATAAATTTTTTTGGCCACGCCAGTCGAATGGGCCAACGTCGACTGTTGATAGGAATTCCTTCAACCCTATCTCAAAACCAACCTTGTCCTTGTCGTCAAATGTCTCCTGATAAAGCTATTAAAAGCTAATTTGTTAGTCTGCTGTACTAGTAGCAGTGACAATCATTCGAAGTACTGATTTTGTATATCTATGGCGTGCCACACAAATACTGCGGACAAAATTTTTTGTCATCGGATTCTTTTAGGCTCGTGCTGATTTTAACGAGAGATTGGGAATTTAAAGAGATGGGATTGCTAACTTCTTTGTTTGATATGTGTTTGGGAGAGCACAGAAAATGTGGTGGTTTATTAATGTATAATTAATTAATTAATTAATAGCTAAAAATAACTTGAAAAATGAATTAATATATTTTTAAAACAACTTTCGTATAGAAATTTTTTGTAAAAAAACACACCATTTAGTAGATAAAAAGTGTGTACGCGAAAAGCGAGAGGAAGAACTCAGAGTTTTAGTTGGATGGGGATCAAAAATTAAGGGATAAACTATTGCTTTTAATACAGTTAAGGGGTAAAAGTTGAGGTATTTCCTCTTTGCATTGTCTAATCAAATATCAACCTATCGATGATATGGGCCTAGGGGTCTCAAGACTAGAGGGAGGAGGCTGCCCCCAATACCACGTGGCCCTCCCCCGAGGGGAGTCAGGCCCGAGGTGAGGCGGAGGCCACTCCCTCATGTGACTAGGGGTCGGGCTCCCCCGACCCCCTTAGCGGGTCACCACGTGCGGTAGGTTAGGTGGCCACCTTCGAGCGCTCACCTACCCGCATTAATGGTGACTTGAGCAGGCGCGCCACGCCGCATTTTATATGGCGTGTACCGCGCGCTAAATTGGTCTGTGACTGGTCAAATGACCGACGGGACTCGAGGTGTTAGGCGTACTACTGCATGGGTCAGGGGGCGTGCACCTTGTCTTGTCCCATCGGTCATGATGACGAGAGGTCTTAACCTCTCATCCCGGCCAGAGTTGGTCCATCCGCCCTGGTCAATTGGGGATTCCGTTTCCCGGTGCAAACAGTGACCCAGAAGTCTCCACCCATTAATAGCAGCTGACATGGGAGCCCCTCGTGTCAGGCGGCAAGATTTGACAGGCCCTATCATCAAGATGACGTGCGCTTGCTTTCCAAGTCAAGAGACAAGACAGACACTTAATGCAAAACACTTCTCCACCGGAGCTAGGTTTTTGGGCCCATGTGGTAACCCCTTGAGGTATAAAAGAAGGTTCAGGCCTAGTAAAAAGGGGGATGGATCTGGGACGATCCATTTGACGCTCTAGAGCAGTCTCTAGCCCCGGATGATCAACACCACATTTTACTCCAACAAGAAGATCTTGTAATCCTTCACTCAAGGAGCATAGAACAGGAGTAGGGTATTACGCTTCTTAGCGGCCCGAACCTGTATAAACCCTTTTGGTCTCATCGTCTTTGAGGGGCTTGACCCCCTCAAGATCACACTGCTTTGCTCACCGAATCCTTGAATCTCACCCGCTGCCCCCGGTCGAACTCACAAAGGAGGGCCTCACGGCCTCCCGCTATAGAAGGTCACTCCTCGACACAACCCTTTATCTTAATATAAAATCTTATCACAATATAAACTCCCACAGCTTCTACCAAACAATGGATTGATAAAAAGAAAATCATGATATCCTCACTACTAATTCCCTACCTAAACTCCTAATGCTCTCTCCTAAAATTTCCAAAACATGCTATGGTATTAAAAACAAGAGTTTGAACGGGAACCATTGGCAGGTGTGGTGAAGTTACATGAGTATACTCATAGAATTTAAATCTTGGTACCCACAAATAAGTTGCACACCAGACCGAGATGGCACATGCGGAATTGGCATGATCCTTTGAGATTGTTATGGATCCTCGATTTTTTCAGCATGTCGTTCCATCGATTTATAAAGTGGTGCTTTGAAGACGGAACTTATGGCTTGTGTTGAGGGAATCTATCATGCCATGCAATGGGCAATGGACGATGCTTCCTATAGTTGTGGAAACATATTGTAGTGGGATGATCAATATGCGGTTTTCTAAGGAGTTAGACCGACCAATGCCTTTTTTTTAAAAGAGGTTGAGTTCCTTATGGTCGGAAATAAAAAATTTGTATTAAAAAAGGTTCAAGCTAGCAAATTATGTTAGTTGTGAAGCAAGCTCAAAGTTTTTGTGGGTAACTCTTGTAAACTCATCTCACATGTTGTGAGGGAGGATTTATCTTCCGATTAATAAATTTCCCGTTTCAAAAAAAAATTATGGTATAAGTTGCATAAAATCTCATAACCCCAGGTATTATGACACAAAATTTCGCAAAACAACAACTATTTATCATTTGAGTTTGATCTGCGAAACTCACAATCATATCTCAAATTTATGAGTTATTTATCCATCATATAAATGTTACATCTATGTAAGATTTTAATAGAGCATGTCAATTTGGTTAACGGCATAACTGCTAAGCTTTAAGACTATAATACATATGATTATGTGCCACATCAAAATCTAAGTGGTTTTGTGTAAGTTGAATCATAATAGACTATGTTTTATAAAATTTACTCTCAATATAAATTTAGTAAATCGCACTTCTGAATATATGAATGCGGTGGGTATGTCTTGTGTAATCGGATAAAAAAATTTCCTAATCTGTTTGGCACAGCTCCAGCTTCAGCTCCTCTCCTCCTGGAGCTGGAGCTCAGCCAAACAGTTTTAGCTCTACCAAAAATGGGAGCGGAGCTGAGTGGAGCTCTATCACAAAATAAACTAGAGTTATGAAGCTGGATTTAGACAGCTTCACAACTCCACTCCAGACCTAACTCTTAAAGCTAAATCTAGCAGTTGGAACTGTAACAAACAGGCTGTAACGGCACCGTAATAAACCCAACGTCCTAGCTGGAACAAATTTCTTATTTGTCAATAGAAAAGTTGAGGTCGCGACTCGCGAGTATATGAGGTGGAAGGATAGGTTTATTTATCATTAATCCTTTTAATTTCACTTAAGTCAAAAAGAAAAAAATCTATACTCCGTAGTGCTTAGCTCAGCAAGACGACGAATTTAGAAAGCAGAGACTCCTGCGCCGCTACAGCAAAGCAAAGCATCTCGCGCCCTAGCCAAGCCAGCCATGGCGCCGTCGTCGAGGAAAGAGAGGGCGGCGGAGGCGAGGGCGAGCACCTCCAAGCCGTCTCCTGCGCCGGCCCCGGCGCCGGCGGTCCAGGTGCAGCGGCGGCCGGTGGGCGGGGGCCGGTGGACGAGCCGCCGGATATCGTTCTACGCCTCCCGCGCCTTCTTCCTCCTCATCATCCTCCAGATCCCGCTCTTCAGGTCGCCCCCTTCTCCCCTCCCCCAATCCCCTCTGATTTACCTCTGTTTCCGTGTCGATCGTGCGCTGAATCTTAGCTAACTCAAGAACGCCTGATTAATCTCGTGGACGCTGGTGCTGCTTGGCGACTTGGGGCGTGATTACCAGATCAAGAACGGCTGGGACGCAGCACACATTCGTGTAGGGGATGCAGGGTACGGGCCTTAGATAGGCATAATTGTGGTAGAATTCCATCGAATTCCTCGATTCCATGCAAAGCCTACTGCCCTAAATGTTGTGTTGATGGGGAAAGGTAGGCGGTGTACTCACATCTCGTCAGTTACCCTTGTTGGACAAGAAGCTGTTAAAGCCTCCATAGTTTCAAGCGGTTAAAAGCAGCCATAGTTTCTCGATGTGCAGGGTTTCAGTCCTCGGGCCGAAAAGCATGATTCAGGTTGCAAAATTTGGTAGAAGGCGAGTTCAAATTAGGCAAAATTTGCCACAGGACACTCAAAAAATGTGTAATTGGCTGAGAGACACCGCAAAAACGTGACACGGCTAATGGACACTACAAAAAAAATTTGTGTAATTAGCTATAGGACACCAGAGACAATATTTTATAATTTTTGGTCAAAAGAGGTGAGCAATTTTTCGAAATGGCGAGATTGCCCTTGGCGCCATCTTCCTCCACCTGAAATCACAAAATTAGCTGGGAGCAGCCGCCGCGCAAGGTTGTCGACGGCGAGGCAGGAGGAGGCCGCGGCGGCGTGGAGCGCGTAGAGGAGGCGGCTGCGCGCGAGGCCGGCGACGGCGGCGGCCGCGCGCGAGGCCTGCGATGGCGAGGCAGGAGGCGGCCGCGCGCGAGGCTGGCGATGGCGGCGGCCGCGCGTGAGGCCTGCGATGGCGGCGGCCGCGGCGGCGCGGAGCGTGGGCAGGAGGCGGCTGTGCGCGAGGCCTGCGACGACGATGGTGGCCGCACGCGAGGCCTGCGACGGCGGCAGCCGCGACGGCGCGGAGCGCGCCGAAGAGGCGGCCGCGCGCGAGGCCCGCGACGGCCGCGGCCGCGGCGGCGCGGAGCGCGTGGCAGGAGGTGTCCGCGCGCGACGGCGGCGGCCGTGGCGGCGCGGAGCACGGGCAGGAGGTGGCCGCGCGCGAGGCCGGCGACTTGAACGGTTGCTGGCACCCTTGCTGTAGAAGAGCTTACGCACGGGCACGGTGGCCATGTCCATCTCGGTGACCACGGCCTTCTTCGTCGCTGGCTTCTTCAAAACGCTCTGCTGCTTGCCTGCTTCTGTTGCGCAACAGCAGTTGTTGACCAGCCGCCGACGCCGACGCCGACGAGGTCGCGCAGGCGCCAGCGCCGCGATGATGAGGACGACGACTCCGCCAGCGGAGGCACTCTTGGGAACCTGTCGTGGATGGGCGAGCCATGGGAGGAAGATGGCGCCAGGGGCAATTTCGCCATTTCAAAAAATTTCTCACCGCTTTTGACCCATAAATTATAAAATATTGTCTCCGGTGTCCTATAGCTAATTACACAATTTTTGTAGTGTCCATCAGCCGTGTCACGTTTTTACGGTGTCTCTCAGCCAATTACACATTTTTTGAGTGTCCTGTAGCAATTTTTTTTTTTGCGGGGAATCCTGTAGCAAATTTTGCCTTCAAATTAATCTAGTTTTGTACTGACGTGGGAAATTGTGTCTATATTCTGATAGAACTCGGTAAGAGTCAGGTTGTGACTTGATGAGACCATATCTTGGTTCCCCTTAAACCCTGGATCGGCTTGTTCTTTTTTGTCCTGAATCGAATAGTTTCTTGCTACGGTTTCTGTCATAAATTTACCAATATGAGCAAACCATGTAGCGCTCTCAACTATGGTTGCCTCAAAATGGATCCTGTATGCATATCACTACTTGCCAGTAGGTTTGATTTTAGTGCATAGGTGTGTATGGTAGTAACAGATTAATGTGGTAGTTCAACTTCTTCCCTGCTATTGCTAGATTGATGGGCTACTTTTTTGTTGCCATTCCTGACTGCTCAATGTGGTTCAGTTTTGGACTGGATCTACGTAGAGGGAATTCTCTCCTATCTTTTCATATATTACATTGTTTCATAAGAGTCCTATAATTTCATATCAAGATTTTCCCATACCTGTACACGTGCTAGTGCTTTTATCTGGACTCGCCTTTTCCTCCTGAGCATGGATTCTAGGAAATTGTATGTTACTTTGCTTCTGTAACCATGCTTGCTTATTTTACCAAATTACATTTTAGTTTATTGCTTAAGGTTGTCATGATTGATAAGGTCGATTTTGGAAACTAAAATACTTGGAAGTACTTTTCTGAGTAGGACGATAAATATACTAAGTAGATTCTGCTTACCTTCTTCTGCCATTTCAGGGTCCCTTGTAGAGCAGGCACATGCACAACGCCCATTCAAGTTACATCTTCGCAGTTGGTCTCAAATGAGATATTCCCACCATCTGTTGTGAAAGCCCTTCTCTTCCCTGGGGCTATAGCAAGCAACCTTACTAAGAGCATGACATTTCCTAGGTGGAATGACCTGTTTGATATTTACAATTTGACAGAAGCCAAGACCGCTTCAGCAGTAATTGATCTCCAGCGTCTAGAGGTACTCTTTTTTTTTTTTTAATAACTGGCCAACTTTCTTAAGCAGATAATTGTGACAATTGTTACACTTTACTCTCTTTCTCACTTCTCAACCAGATTCTTGCTGGAAGCTACTTCTGTGCTGCTGGAGCACTTGTTGGTGTCATAAACCCTGGGAGGATGACCTTGTTTGGTACCCTTTTGGTTATCTGGGGTCTAGTGAAAGAAGCGCTCTTTGGGAAACCGGTGAACAGTGATCCAACACAATCAGTTCATGTTTATCCGACCATTTTAATTGCACTGATTTGTGCATTCTTGTCAATAACTTACAATGTAAAGAAGACAGTAAGAAATAGTCAGTCTGTTTCAATCACTAAGCCTCTGCAAAGTTCTGCCAAGTCGAAACTGAAGTAGACACTTCATTGTCTATTTGCCCCTTCATCCTTGTAGTTCATTTCCACAAATTTATTGTTGAAGACTGGCCCAAAGGATAACACTACTGTGGTTCTTGTGTACCACTTTGAATACTGTAACCTTCAGTTTTCACCTTTGTATCAAAGACTTATATCTATAACTTTTATTGCAAGCATATTCACTTTAATTTCCCTCGTATTTATTTATGTATATGCTGTTTACACTGTTAAGACTACTGGCATCATGTCACCCTTCCTCTTGAAGGATGATATTTTATCTTTTTGTAAATTCCATCTATTACTTGCTATAACCTATAGCTCTGAAGTTCTCAGATACATGGGAAGTTTTCCCACAGTATAACTTGTTCAATATTCATTTTCTTTGTCAGTACAATCTTGCTTTAATCCTCTGATAAATCAAGAATTTATGATTACCATTTTAGTTTAACTATTTAAGTTTCCCAGTAACTTTGTTTTCACCTATATTCTCACACTGGCCCAATGGACGATGTGTCCTTCTATTTTATTCTGCATTTGGAATTCTACACAAGAAGTACTTTCTGAACTGTTAGCTGATGAATCGAACAAAATGGAGTTGAAGAGGACAGGACACATGTATCTGTCAGAATTTGCTCTATCATGAAGTGATACATCATTAGCGGCAGTACTGCTGTCCTAGCATTTGTATACTTGTATTGTGTAAAGAAGGGCAAGAATCAAGGCTGCATGTGCAAGTGGCTCGTCTCCTATCTCTTGCTCTCTGTTGATGTCTGGTTGATGATGAGATCAGAGGAAAGGAGACAGGCTGAGCCCCACCCAAACCCCATGTGAGCATTGTCCTTTTAACCTGTCTGTATTTTTGTACACTCTGCTGCTTGCCCTTCTGGTGAAACCAGACCTGAACTCTTTTATCTACCCGACTGCAGCCTGAAGCTGATTAACAAGTCTGAAGAAGCAAACAATGCCACGGAGCTACTGGATTTGTCATGTAGAAGGGGCTGAAGAGATAAGCTGATTCGGTCGAAATGTTAGGTGGTTTCTCAAGTCAGCTATCATAGTCTTCTAGAATGCTCTTCTTGTCAGATTTCTCTCTTGGCAAGAGATAAAAACAGGCATAGGCTCCTCTTCAATAATTGAGATCCCTTCTCTCTATGTTACTTCCTCCTGCTGTCATAATGATTGCTATGGTTAGCCTGTCAAGGTTATACATGAGCCTATTTGGTTCTTGTTTTTACTAGTATAAGTGGTTGCTTAAGATCTAAAACTATCCTTCCACCTAGACTACATTAGCCTCTGCTAGCCTAATTTGTCAAGAAGCCCTGCTTTTGCAGTTCACATTCTTCCCAAGCCTTCCTACAGACTGCTGTTCAGACTTCAGTTCCATGGTTCAGATGTCTATACAGAGGTCAGTTGTTCTTCTGTTACTTCTTGAAATTAATTTTAGCATTTACTGGTGTTTAGTGTATTCAGACTTCGAGAGCTATGGCAAAATGACTCAAAAATGTTTGCAGGGCTGCAACCATTTCACCTCCTTGTTCCTTATCCTTGCCATTTGATTGTGTGAGTGGTACAAGTAGAAGATTTGCCTCATGTAGATCCCAGTATTCATGCTTTGCCTATAGTGAAAGACTATCTCCAAATGTTTTGAAGACCAACAGTGTCGTCGATCCCTCTGAACCGAAGATTTTGGATGCGAGTTCTTCTGCTTCAAGAACTGGACAATATAGTGCAACTACTCATCTATCAGGTACAATTGGAGTAATGGGAATATCTGCCTCTTCCTCTCTCAGATTCTTACAGAAGCTTGTGCATTGGAGTACTCGTGATGGAGAAGAGGCACCTCCCTTTCTCGTGTGTAATGATCCACTTCTTAAGAAGGAGCTCATGTCATCTCAAAATTCACAGCGCCCTTCCGACTGTAACACTGCTCTTGGGAAGTTAAGGCTGAGGAGGCTCCTCTTGGAGAAATCTGGAGTATGCTGCATTGCCATGCCATGTAATACCTTACATGCCTACCATGATGAAATTTCACAAGGATGCTCTGTACCTTCCCTCCATATTGGTGATTGTGTTGTAAAGGAACTCAAATCGGCAAACTTAAAACCTGTTGAATATGGAAGTAATGTTTGTGTCGGAATTCTATGTACAGACAATACATTGAATGCAAAGTGTTATCTAAATAAGCTGGAGAGCCAGGTAAGACATCTTTTATTTGGTCATCAATCATCGTTTTTGCAACAACATATTTATTTCTTTTTCTTAAACAAACTACTATATATTTAATTTAAATTTAATGTTTACAAATAAGTAGCTTTATTGCAAATGAAATAGTAAGATGTAGACAAAATGCTTGTTTCCTACCTTGCTCAGTTTGCAAAATTTTAGCAATCAATATTTCAGGCCTTCATTTGGAAACATCTATATGACAACCAAAGCACTTCATATATGTTCCACCTGTTAGGCAACTCATGTCCTATATCAGTAACGAATGATCAGATTTTCTTTTCCCAGTTTGCTTTGCACTGGTATACTTTCTTTTACATGACAGGCCAGTTTACAAAAAGATTGACAACCACAGATCTTATGCCGATTGTAGTCTGCCCATTCCCGATTTGCCAATCCCATGATAACTTGTCCATTTCCAATTTGTCATATTATTGATATCCCTTTAGACATTCTAGTTGACATTTTCCTTCAATACTGTACACCCATCCCATCCAATTGGCAGCATATGGTTATGTTGTTTTGTTCTTAAATTCCATTTTCACAGGGTTTTGAGGTGCTGCTTCCAGATAAAGCTTCATTGGAGCACACGGTATTACCAGCCATCGGCGCTTTTAGGAGAGGGGACATGGAAGGTGCAAGAAATCTGTTGCGAATATCACTACAGGTTATGTTCGTGAGGGCTGTCAATACAATAATCCTTGCATCTGATGACTTTGTTGGTATATTACCTGATGATGACCCACTGCTCAAGAAATGCATAGACCCAATGGATGCTTTGGTTAGAGAGACCATCATGTGTGCAAGAACAGATAGCCTGAGACCATGATATCCTTCAAAGTGATGCTGGTTCCTTGTACAGTTTGCAAGTAGTAGATGTTTTCATTTTTTATCTCCAGCGAGCACACATGTAAATTTTAGGATCAGAGAAGAATTCACTATTCATCACAAGTCAATATCATTAATAGTACAGTGTATTATGCAGTGTGATCTGGGTATGCATTATGCCTTGCTGCTAAGTCAAGAAAGATGCCGAGTCCATCTGCGAGTTCAGATTTTGTCAGATGTGTTTGTGGCCTGGCCACACCAGGGAAAACTTCAAACAAGAATCTAGAAATCAAATAGATGATGTGGATGTTTCTGTGGATCAGCCTGTAGATAGAACAAATGAAGACATCGTCGAATCTTAACTGCGCAGAAGGAGCACCTTTCTTTTTCAGATAAGTAGCAACTGCCTTGACATCTGAGATCACAGTTATTCAGTAACATCTCCCTCTTGTCAAAAATATATCCCCATCAGAAAGAATGCAGCCTCATGCTCTTCCAAACACTTCTACAAGGCGTGTTCAGACTTCAGAGCCTGTATGGTAACACAGTTATCAGAAAGTTATCAGTGTGTTTTTTTTTTCAGAAGTTGTAACAGAGATGATGCTTCCATTTTGACTTGGGAAAGCCAATCTGAGTGGGCCTGTTCACTGGTATTCCAAGAGAATCTGGTGATTGGTGTGGAGGAGGAGGGGGAGGGGCTTGAATGTTCTGTGCACAGGTGGGATTGCAAAAGGTGTGCACAATGAGTGAGCAATGATTCAGGCTGTCTGCAGGGGCCTTCACCAAACAAGTGGCTACCCTTTCTCCCATGCAGGAACCAGGGACAAAAAGAAAGGAAGCACAGGGGACAATGCAACACCAATTGGGCCTTCCTCTCTCTGTTCTTCAGGGTAAGCAAAGGCACCAATGCTTAACCCAAGATTGATCATATCAGACCCTGTGCTGGAGAAATAAACAACTCCAGCATCATGCTATTGTGCTGTGATATATTTGTATACATATTCAGATATGGCTTTGTTTTTTAAGTTCTTCGGTCGTCGCGGTCGGGATATTTATTCCATTATCATAAGAAATAATAACAATACTACATACATATTCAGATGTTCTGATGCTTCATGACCGATCACACACTTTTCTTTTCTCCTCTTCACAAAAGGGGAAGAGGAGATCAGGAGAAAGAATAGTGCTATCTTCCATTCAGTCTGAAATGATTTGAGGAAGCATCTGAAGATAGTGTAATGCTAGAGCTACAGAAAGCCTTTGCAATGTGTTTGTGTGTGTGTGTGGAATGTGGATTGCCTGTGTGCGGCTGCTCTGCTGCCATTTTGAGTGTTGAGGTTTTGTTGCTTGATGAATTGATGATGATGATGATGATGCCCAAAGTGGTAATAATGCTCTGCATCTCGATCACCTTGCTTTTACAAGTAAAGCAGCGCCATGATTGTTCCCTGGAATCTTATCCAACTATACCTCCACACACACACAATTCTTCTTGTTCATCTCTCCCTCTATAGATTTGTGAATTCCAATTGAAAGCAAAGCTATGCTTCTAGTATCAATCAGTTGAGAGAGAGAGAGAGAGAGAGAGAGAGAGAGAGATGAACAAGAGGTGGTCACATCGATCGAGCAGCAATCTGATTGAGAAAACATTCGCTTGTGGCTGCGATAATTCGCTGTCGCCTCTTTGTTCCCTGTACATGATAAATATAATAAATATATAATAATGGCGAAGCACTAATTCGGCTTTGCATATGCGATGAACAATTAGCAGGAAAGGGAGAAGGCATCTGTTTATGGATAGATTTCTGCCAAATTTGTACGCCACCGGGATTGCAGTTACAGTCAAACGATTAGGAATAATCCATGTCATGCTCCATCCACATACTACATTTGTTCATCAAGCATTCTAATTCTTCTTTCTCGCAAAGTAGACTTAGAGTTAAGTGTAACTAAGAGAGTGAAAGACGGGGCAAATCACAGGCCAACTCGCATTTTTGCTTTCTTAATTATCTGCCTTTTATTGGGAAAAAAAAGAGGAAGACTGATCAGTCATCAGCCACAATTTTGTGCCGTTTTTGTGTTTTTTTAGTACCGTTACCGCTCTTACAAATGAAAAAAAACCCTCAGGTTATCGAGGGTTATTCTAAAAAAAAATAGAAAAAAGAAAACCCTGAAGGGCATGACCGGTGGCCGATCAATCTTGTCCGTCGATCTTCGATCTCGTAAATTTTATTTCCCTTTCATTTCTTCTCAGTGCAAGGCATATATCATATATGTCAGATCAATCAACTGAAAAGAGTAGAGAAAGAAGAGAAGAGAAAACTGAATCAGATGAGATCATATATTTAGCAGCAGTTTGTCACTGTCAAATTGCAAATGTGCCATCATGTGGGTAGCTTACCGTAGTATCTGGGGAAATTGCACCGGAAGCACTCGGTTCTGTTAGCGTAGTTCTGCACGTTGCATTCCATTCTGCAAAATCACCAAAACATGTAAATATGCATCAGCACTAACATTCCATATATATATATATATATATACTTCTTCAGAACAGATGATAACATTCACATTCAGAACTATTATCAATGCTGGTCGATCAGTTTTTTTTAAACAAAGCTTGAGGTGTCGTAATTAAACATCTTGATCAGCAGTGGTAGTAACTAAAACAAGGAATGCAGAACTGACACGTCAAGAGGTAATATTCCAGTTGGCATGCAGCTCCGGATTCTGTTGGGCATAGAATCTTTGGACTAGACACATGCATGCTTTAGTTTAGCGTTTCCTTTTTAAACACATATAACTAATACTATTAATGTTCAAAAAAACAACTAATACTATTTTCACAGAGACATGCTCGATCGTGGCAAAAGAACAATTTGCACACTTATGCATGCATCTCCGTGCAATCTAATTAAATTAATCAGCTAATGTGATTAGCCAGAGGCAGAGCATGCTGCATTCCCAAGCAGCCACCTCCGCCTCTTAAAATAAAAAAGAAATATAAGACGTATTTTGTTTCGTTAGGACAAGACTTAGACTTGAACGAGCTAGGAACAACTAATGAAGTATGAAATTACCTGGGGCAGATCCAGTCGCCGTTCTTCCAGCCGGCCTGGGAGGCGACGGAGAAGCCCCAGCCCTGGGCGACGGCGGCGGCGGAGTCGTTCTTGGCGGCGCCGCACTTGAAGCAGCTGCCGCGGCTGGCGTAGTTGTTGACGGCGCAGCAGCGGCAGCACCAGTCGCCGGGCTTCACCTCCCACCCGCCGCCCATGGCGGCGTAGTCCGTCCGCTCCACCCCGAGCTTCGCCTCCCCGCACCGCTGGCACGCCTCCCTCTTGCAGAAGTTCACGTACTGGCACGACCTGCAGCTCCAGTCCCCCGGCTTCCTCATCGCCATCGCCGCCGCCTTCGTCTCCATCTCTATCTACCTATCTATCTATCTATCTATCTATCGAGCAAATAGAATGTACAAGAAGAAGAAGAAGAAGAAGAAGAAGAAGAAGAAGAAGATGATGGTCGTTATCGAGCAAAGAGCAGAGCAGAGAGAGCTGAGCTAGCTGGAGCAGACTGGAATGCTGCTCAGCAGCTAGCTAGCAAGCTTGCTTGCTTGAGCTTGAGCTCTGATGAATGGATGGATGGATGGAGGCTTGGGTTTGGAAGGGGAGGTGGCGCGGGCTTTTATATAGGGTTTGGTGATGCACTGGAGCTTAGGTGATGAGCTAGGCCAGTTGAGTTGGGGCCCAAGTAAAGCCGCGCACCGGGGGAAGAAGCATCCATTCGTCCATCTCTGCTAGCTGCATGTTATGTTGTTGTTGGTAGTAATATTGTGCGTGCATGCATGCATGTCTTGTCTAGCTGCCTGCTGGCTATAGGCTACATATGCTCCCTTTTGGGCTGAGCTAGCTAGCTCTCCCATAACTGGGGAATCTCCAGGATTGATGGGACTTGTGAATTCTCTGCCAATTAACAAGTGTGAATAAATGAATTATTGAAAATGAATAGGAGCCTACAAGGTCAGGCCTTTGCCTTTCCAGCTTTGATTATCTTTGGTTATGTGCATGCATGCATGGCTGTGTTTATATATTCATGTGAGGGATAGAATTTGTGGTTGTTGACATGGAGTAAATTTAGTAAAACGGCGCAAACTTTCACAAAACTATAAATAAATTAATCAAGTTATACTTCCTCTGTTTCAAAATGTAAGATGCGGTTGTTTTGGAGTCAAACTTAAAAAAACTGACTTACAGCAAAAACTAAAACATCTTAAATTTTAGAAAAGGGGATAGCAATGTTGAAAACTATATATTTAGCCATAAATTTAGCAAAACTCTTGAGATCCATGGAAATAATGGTGGATAAAATCTCTAATTAAGACCTTAGTATTTGATCATAAATGTTCGCTTTAGGTATATAGTTTGGAGTACACATTTCACTTTGAACTAAAAATATATTGACAAATGTTACACACAACTAATGGATCGATCAAGTCGTGCCCATGTTTTTACTTAACACCAGGTTTTCTACTTTATTGATTGGACCAGAGTTCATGAATAAACCCCACCACGATGGCTTCAGCGCAAGTACGGGCAAGGTGTAGGTGACTTGTAGCATTGCTCCACCCCTGCTAGGTCATGAGATCAATCAATCAATGTTCTAACCTATTCCATCCTCTCTTTTGCTCTAGCTACCACCATGAAAAAAACGAGTAGGAATTATGCGCCATTAATGATGGCTAGAGCAGGAAGTTGGGATGGGGGAGGGGTTGGGAAAAATAGACATGCATGGACACATGAATGAATAGTCTAGGCATCTTGCCCATCAGCTATGGTGATGGTGCTTTGTCTGAATTTAGGAACTGAATAATGGTTCCAATTCCTTTCAAAAGTGGAGGGTTGCTTGATCAAATACTATCTAAGTACTTCCTCCGCGTCCTAAAATATAGCTACTTGTAGTGTTTAAATTTTATTTTAAAATACAGCTACTTCTAGAGTAAGAAGAGATATTTGTAGTGATGAAATGTCAAAAATACCCTTCTTCTTCACCATACCGACCAATCAGGACAATTAATGAAGGAAAATTTAGTCTTTTTACCTCTTTTTTTAGTTATCTCTATGAAAAACTCTAGAAAGTAAGGTAGATAGTATGAGATGATTCTTCTAAGCTATATGTTTAATGTTATGATTTATTTATAGAATAAACTAAATTAATATGTGCTTATATATCCAACAGTAATAAATATTTGTATTGGCCAATACTCATCCCATTCAAATCAACATTGAGATTTAACTTGCCTTTCCACATCTATTATATTGGCGAGTGATGCACACCATATATAAAAGAAGTCACCTCAGCAATACGTGTCCTATTTTTCCTTGGTACATTCAATTTTCCTGACAACAGTCCTTTAACTCTCGTAACCGGGGACATTTGACCATGAAAAGCGGAAACGCTGAATTGCAAGGTAAAAAAGTACATGAAAAAAATTTTTTTTGCGAGAAAAAAGAAAAAAATGTTTTATGGTTATCCGACACAGGAAATTACAAGTCTCTAAAACCTAAGCAGTGAATTAACTTTCTTGCGGGCGATTGTCAGGAAATCTGGTAGGAATCACAGTACACTTCGTTGTTGGTTAACAGTTGACAAAGTAAAATTCCCCCTTGCAATTGCAGATTATCCTAATGATTCATGCATGAGGATTTACCATATATATCTAGCAAAATGTTTCATGATAGAGTGAACTATATATTACCATATTTTGCTTCCTCGGTAGATAGAATTGAGAGAAGACTCTCTGCTACCTCAGTTTTTCTATCTTATGGAAATAAACTTACTATGGTTAATTCAGTTTTCTATTCCTACCAACCTACTATATGTGTACTTTGAAGTTGCCTAAAACAATAATTGACAATATTGATCGAGGAAGGAGACACCGTCTTTAGAGAGGTTATGATGTCAATTCCAATAAGAAGTCATTGGCTGTTTGGGACAAGGTTTGCAAACCTAAGACAAAGGGGGTTCTTGGGGTTATCAATCTTACAATCCAGAACCTCCTTCTAAAGTATCTAGACAAGTTCTATGATAGCAAGAATTTGCCCCGGGTCAATCTTATTTGATCCTCTTATTATAGAAACGGAGTGCCTCACTTATCCACCCTCAAGGGGTCTTTTCGGTGGAAGGATGTTTGCAATTTGATAGATTTCATTGGAGGCATTGCCAGATGTTTAATAGGAGATGGAGTTTCATGCTCTTTTTGGAATGATGGACCTCCTCTTTCTATCCATATGCCAAGACTGTCTTCTTTTGTTTTGAATGCAAAGATCCCAGTCACAATTTTCTTTCAATTTAGTTGGAAGATAATTTTCACTTGCCCCTATCTCAAGAAGCTTATCTTAACTTGTAGTCTTTGAAAGTTTTGCTTAAAGAGGTAAGCTTGTCACAGGAAAATGATACATGGGCATATATTTGGGGTAATTTGAAGTACAGGTCACAGAAGTTTTACATTCTTAATTTTAGAGTTTTGCAACCACCTCAGCATTTCCTTTGGTTACGGAAGAGTAAGACAGGTCAAAGTGTTTGGTTGGTTACTACTCATGGAAAGATTAAATATAAAGTATATGCTGGATCATAAACATTGTGCTCCTCCAAACTGTGACCTCCAATGCGTGTTTTGTTCAACTCAATCTTTGGAAATCTTAATCATCTTTTTTTTTTCCAATGCCCTTTCTCAGTGAGATTTTGGAATATCTTAGATATTGTTTGGGACACCTCTTTGACACTAGATAGCATGGTGGTGGAAGCCAGAGATAGATACCATGGCCATTACTTTATGGAAAAATTCTTATTTGAGACATGAAATATTTGGAAGCAAAGGAATGGGTTTATTTTTGAAAATACTCATCCTTGTTTGTCTTCTTGGAGATAACTCCCTAAGGCTGATCTCCTCCTTTTGTTGTTTAGGTTGAATGAGAGAGATAAGAATGTAGTTTTGAGTTGAATTAGATTGTTGTAATTTTTTTCTTTTTTCCTGTACTTGTTTTCTTTCTTTAATAAAAATCTATTTAACAACGGGGCCTCCTATGCTGTAATTTCTTTAAAAAAAACTATATATTGCCATGAAGGTCTCACTACTAGAAAAATCATTTTTCCCAACGTGGGAGTCTTATTTTCGCAGGCAGACATGACCCTTAGAGCCAAATGACCGCCTACAAAAATATAAATCGAGATGAAATTTGATGTCCGCCTGCGAAAATATTTTCACAGGCGGACCACTTAAGCGGCGCCTGCGAATGATTTTCGCAGGCGCCGCATCATTTTCGTAGGCGCCACTTAAGTGGTCCGCCTACGAAAAAAAACTTGAATATAAATAGACTCGGCATAGGAGGAGATTTTTTCTAAGTCTCCACACCTCACCACTCACGGCCGGCAAGCTTATCCATTCAACCCCTCAGTCCCTCAGCTCTCTCATCCCCTCCCCCTCACCTCTCCTCTTCTCCCCACCTCAACGGCCGGCCTCTCCCCTCCCCTCACCTCTCCTCCTCTCCCGGCGGCGGCGGCGGGCGGTGGCGGCGGAGGGCAGCGGCGGCGCGCTCCCGGCCCCTCCCTCCCAGATCTGGCCGGAAGGGGGCAGGGGCAGCACGGCGGCGGGCGGTGGCGGCGAGGAGGGTCGAGGCGGCGGCACGGCCACGGCGGCGAGGGCAGTTGAGGCGGCGGCGGCGGCTCCCGGCCGCCCCTCCCTCCCAGAACTGGAGTAACGACGGCGGGCCGTGGCCGTGCGGCGGCGGCGCGAACGATGGCGGGTCGTGGCCGTGCGGTGGCGGCGGCGGCTCCTGGCCGCCCCTCCCTCCTAGATCTGGAGTGACAACGGCGGGCCGTGGCCGTGCGGCAGCGGCTCCTGGCTGCCCCTTCCTCCCAGATCTGGAGTGACGACGGCGGGCCGTGGCTGTGTGGGGCGGCGGCGGCTCCCGGCCGCCCCTCCCTCCCAGATCCGCGTTGACGACGGCGGGCCGTGGCCTTGCGGCGGTGGCGCGGACGACGGCGGGCCGCGGCGGACGACGGCGCGGCGCGGACGTGCAGCGGCGGCGGATGATGGCTAGGCGGCGGCCATGATTTCTTGAATGTTTTTATTTGCTTTCTTCTAGAATTGATTCGGTGATTTTGGATGAACCGTGGATGAATTGATTCGGTGATTTTTGGATGAACTGGATGAATTGATTGGATTGGATGGGGAATGGGTGGGAACTGGATTGGGAACGGGAAGCTACCGTCGGAAACGGCGGTGGCTGCCCATTTTTTTTAGCTCTCGAAGCTATTTTCGCAGGCAGACCTGTTGCGCGCCTGTGAAAATCAACTATTTTCGCAGGCGTTGAGGTGCAGGCGGATGGCTTGTCCGCCTGCGAAAATATGATTCGGCCGACTGGGAAAAGAATTTTTCTAGCAGTGTCTCTCCCTCTACAAATAATGATCTGTAAGTCTGTAGTGCCTCAGTCAACTTAGAAACTCTAGCTTTTCCATTCTTTAATATTTAACTAGTTTTGATTGTACAAACAACAGTTTTAGGTACACTTTCATATATTCTCTGACTTGCCTTGTTAATTTAATTATACACGGAACTAGAATAAGAATAACCGACCATGCATGCATATATATATATATGCACAAAAAAGTTTTCCATGCGTCCAAAAATGAACATATATCCAAACTGAATTATTACCTATATATATATGTATGGGCTTTCAGCTTTCTCGTGCA